TCTGTATGTTTTTTTAGACTTTCAACTATAAATGCTACCAAAAAACTTGATTTGGAAAACTTAAACGTTGTCAGTGTATGGACAAAACTTTCCATCAAGGAAATGCTTCTTTGTCATTGAATCTTTCAGTGTTATGTTGGCTAAAAGAAGAAAGCTTCAAGCATGACAGCTTTATTATTTTTAATTTATATAGGCCATGTATATATCTTCCTCTTCTTGGTTTCAGGCCTGAGGAGTTCATATGCTAGTCAACACAGCCAGCTAGGACAAGAGTTACGATCAGCTGTATCTCCTGACTTGCACATCACTCCCATCTACGAAGGCAGAACTTACTACAGTCCTGTGTACCGTAGTCCAAATCACGGAACGATTGAGCTCCACCAGGGATCCCAGTCAGCCTTGTATCGAACAGGGTCAGGTGGGTAAAGGACTTCCACAACTCCTCTGGTGACTGTATCCAAAGTCGTGCTTGATTTGCTCACTGGAGTTTCCTGGAACCTATGGCACATAGGAGAACATATATGATATGGATGTATAATTCCAATTCAAAAGGAAAAGCCAGATGTTATAAAATAATGGAGGCAGAAACTAGGCTTGAAGGACTGAAAATAACCAGCAGGAATTGAAGAGCATTTGTGGTGTTTGGAAGAAATACTTGGGGCTATGTATCAGTGTCAGCCTGGGGGAAGAGTATTTTCTGTTTGACACCACACACTCAGGTACAACTAAGGGAAGCGTATTTCATGACACGCAAAATGCATTGCTTCCTCTTGCATTCTCTGTGCAATGTTTTCTTACAAATCAAGTTTCTTCTTTTTTATTTTCTTATATTTCTCTTTTTATTACTCATCAGTAAAATGATAGCTTGCACACTTAAAGTACCTCCTGTGGCTTTCACAGTAAAAATACTGGTTTTGCCCAACTTCTCAGCAAAGGATCATGTTAAGATGCTACATCTGAAGGTTGCATATTGAAACTGAAATATTTCTGTAATATTTCATAGAATTTCTACTCTTGTATTACAAAGTGTGTAGGTGTTAGAGTAGTACTAGAACTGATTGCCTGTGACAAGACATGCAATATGTACTGCAGTGCACTTCATTCTTTAAGGTTGATCAGTAACTTGTATATTGGAGTAATTTCTAAAACCTCCCACGGTATTAGAGAAATTTAGCCAAGTAACTATCTAGAAATATTTATAGAGAAGTGTCCAGTTCGTGTGTGACGTTTTCACACATTTGGAAGTTGCTTTTTAACTTTTTTTTTACTGTAACTGAAACACTAAGCATACGCAATGTTGAAGGAGGCAACAGTTTTTGCAATTCTCTGGTCTTCTGCAACTTAGTGTAGGCAAATTAAGTTTGTCAGTATGTGCCAATGAGGAAATATAACTAGGAACTGAAATGCTCTGCTTAGTTGTCTACCTAAGGTAGATAACTAATCAGTTATCTTGGAAGAGCAAAAGAAACCACAACAGCTCTGTTAAGTGAGGAAGATGCATGTTGCTGCTTTTGAAATGATCAGCTTAATCTTTGAAATCTTCCTCTTGTTACTTCTTGTCAGGGAAAATGTGCATGGAGTTAGGAAAAGGAAAATACCATCTAAACTCTGTACATTGTTGTTATTTTTCCTTTTTGGTATAGCTGCAAATTGACATTGCTGTTAGTAACTGAATTTTATTATAAGCCTTGAAAACATTTTGCATCCTGATTTCTGCTTGATGGCACAAGGTGCATTTTGTATTTAAATACTTGTTGAGGCAAGCTGAAGCATAAGCTTGATTTCACCAAACCTTTAGTTCTGTAACTAATCTCTCTCTTCCCTGGGACACTGAGTAATGGCTCCCTTAAATCTGGCAATAGCTTTCAGTGTTGAACACAGTACACAATTTTAAGACCAATTCTTTCCTTTTTTTGCTTACACTTTTGACCACTCGTTGCCTCTTCTCTTCCATAGACATTTGTTACCTAGTTTGTTTTTTAATACTGATTTTATACTAGGAGTTGGAAATCTTCAGAGGTCATCCAGTCAGCGTAGCACACTCACATACCAAAGAAATAATTATGCTCTGAACACGACAGCCACCTATGCGGAACCGTACAGATCAGTGCAGTATCGACTGTCAGAGCCTAGTTATAGCAGGCTGCAGCATGCAACGCCTGCCGACGATGGGACCACGCGATCTCCATCCATTGACAGCATACAGAAGGACCCCAGGCAAGTCCATTCATCTTTCAAGGATCACATGTATTTTCCATAATAAGATTTTTAGTACATTCCTTGAATATATTTGGTATTTGTTGGGCATATTCCGGTTTTATATTGTTTAAACGGGCATTACTAATGTAGATACTAAGATCTATGCCTTCATAGCCAAAGTAATTAAATACAGTCTACCTGTTACAGTAAGAAAGAGCAACTTTCATGAATATAGTTATTATTACATTTTCCTTCCATGTTTATTTTCTTGTAGAAGTTATTATAGGAAATAGGTATAAATTTCATGAGAGTTGACTGCTGTATTCCAAGTATTTTTGAGTCTCTGCAGGGCAACCTGTGATATTAGTGAGTTTCCTCTTTATGGGAATGGGAACCAGGGCTTGAAAATTTGAAATTTATTTGAATGAAGTTTTCATGAGCAGCCTGCTTCCATTTCAAAACAATGTAAGTTTAAAAATTATATATAAATGTGCCATCTTGAAAGTGAATACACATTAATATTTTTACTAGCTTGAAGTTGTAAATGTATGTACACAGCATGGGCATGTGACAACCTGATCTAGTTGAAGATGTCCTTGCTCATTGCAGGGGGGCTGGGCTAGATCACTTTTGAAGTTCCCTTCCAATCAAAGCTATTCTGTATTCTATGACACGTCTATTATTATCATGACAATTTGGTATACTGTTCATTGAAACCTTGTATTTTAATATGCAAGTATTAAACCCTGATCCACGCAAAGGGTGGAGGGATATACAGCGCTGCTTATCTTCAGTGTGGGCCAGTGATTGCTAGAAATTCCTGCCATCTGCAGCCTGCTGGCTCGTGGGGACAGTGCTTGGACACTCCTCGGTCATGGAAGCCCCTGGGCCACTCTGCAAGCTCAGAAAGAACTGAGCGCAGAGCATCTTGCTCTGGAGGATTTGGGCTCCAGTAGTGCCTCAGTAGTCTTCATAGGGAAACAGCAGGGCACCAAATAACCTTTGAAACAAACAAACAGCTAATAGTGATGGTCAGACTGGAGTCTTACACCAAAATCCTCCTAGCTCCCCACTTTACAGAAGGCTCATGGCCTGGTTCAGTTATTTTCTAGTTTGGCCCTATACTTCTGAGTCAAAAAAAATGAAAGCACGGATTTTAATAGATTTTGTTGTTTATTAGTAGAAAATAATGTATTTCAGGGGGTTTTAATAGATATTGAAGGACTGGATTGATTTCATTTAACTGAATGGTATATTCATTTAAACAATGTTAATTGGATAATCCAGTTGAGGTAATCTAAGTAATAATGCTTGCTAGCTCTGGCTGGTCTGTTCAGGCCTGGTTTACAAGAGCAGTTACTTATGATAGGGTTGCCCCACGTTCACAGCAAAAAACTGCAGAGAAATTCTGCCTCAGTTCTCATAGCTGATGCACCTTCTTACCTTGTAATTTCCCAGCACACTAGTTTTACATTACATTTTAATCTGTTACAGTTTCTGATCAGTATAACATGCTGTTGCAGAGGTTGGGTGAGTGTTAACAGCTGCCTCAGCCTGGGCTGCTTAAATGCCTCGCTCCAGAGTGTGAGCAAGGGAGCATTCAGAAAGTGGATAGTCTTCTTAGAAAGGCAGTTTTCCCTAAGGACTTCTAGTCTTTAGTATAGAGAAATAAACCCTGAAGTTGTTGAGCAGTTCATTGTAGGCGCATGACTTTTCCCATTCTGGTGACTGTTAGAATCCTGGGGAGACCCAACTGGCTGGGCATTACCCTTTGAAGAGCTCCCCAGACACTGTTCTTGGGATATAATTTTTCATGTACTTGGATTTTTGAGCATGGGAAAACTTAGATACTACTTTTCCTTTCTTTTTCTTTTTTTACCTTCCCCCTCAATCTCCCTTTACGGAAAGAAGGAAGCATAGCAAATATTAATGAGCTGATTTCTAAATCCGTGAATTTTGCATAGATAAGTTTCATGACTTTTCCAGGATTTGTCTGTGCAAAATCAGTGTTTAATGAAGGAGATTTGATTTTAATGATTTTAAGTTTATAAGCCCTGAATAACTCAAATTATGCAAACTTCCTGCACCTGACCATGGTGATGAAATTTCAGGCTCTGCAGCCTTTGTTGAACTATAATTGACTTCAGACTGGGAAGAATGTTGAGCACTGAGGCGGGGGGGGGGGGGGGGAATGCTGCATGGAAGAGATGCCCCTGAGCAGCATGGTTAAGTGGGTGTTTGCTGTGTATGTGTTGGGAGGTTTACGTAGGTTGCAGTGTTTGTGTTGGTATACTCAAGTGTATATATATATATATATATATATTCCTCTTGATTGACAACCAAGGTAACTGAAGAATATTGGATGTAAAATGTCCTTTTCCAATTGGAAGACTAAAGGCTGGTGTGACTCATAATTACTCTAATATACCTGGTTTTCCCTCATAGCCCTGTGTCACGGTTTAAGCCCAGCTGGCAACCCAGAACCATGCAGCTTCTCACTCACTCCCTCCTTTTCCTCCTCCCCGATCCCTAAGAGGGAGAAAAATGATTGCTACTGTTGACCCCAGGACACCCTGATACTGCAGAACAAAATCAGAATTGTTGAAAAACACTTGAGAAGCTCTAGTAATTCTACTTGGCAAATAAGCGTACATTTGTAACTAACACCTTCTCCTGAATGTGTTCATCTAATGAAGGGAGTTTGCTTGGAGAGATCCAGAACTGCCTGAAGTCATCCACATGCTTCAGCACCAGTTCCCGTCAGTCCAGGCGAATGCAGCTGCCTACCTCCAGCATCTGTGCTTTGGGGACAACAAAGTGAAAACGGAGGTACTGTGCTGTTCATGATGGTGTCTGGGATGATAGGGAAGCTGCAATCAGGGTCCTTTCAGAGCAGGAGCCAGCACAAGAAACTATCTGGTATAGGAAAGGGTTGTTATTTTAGTGCCAAATTCAGTAAAGCTTTATTTGAGGACTGCTTTTGTCTTTTCATTCATGATTTAACTTCATTATTTTAATGCTGTGGTAAAGACTAGATCAATTTTGATCAATAGCCAGGCTATTAAGGATGCTAAAAATCTAGCAAAATGGCCTAGAGTGCCTGCGCTGGTAAAACCTGAAGGTGTAAGTGTAAGAAACTGGTTTTTGGGGGGGTGGAATCTTTAAATTAACTGCGAAACTACAGGGAATGAATGAAAGACCCTTCCAGGTAATGAATGTCTACCTGTAAATACTAATACAATACTGATATATTAGTTCATAATTGAATCATTTTACAAGAATTCTGGGTTTTTTTTTATATTTATTTATTTATTTATTTTTAATTTAGAAACCTAAATGCCTGTTCAGAGCAGAAACAGCTGCCAAGGATGCAGCAAAATTCAAACCTTAAGAATGGATTTCTATCCCAGTTTTATTCTGAATTATATATATAAAACTATCCCATCATGGTTTGAGTACAGATTGAAAAAAATGATACAGCTGCTTTGTCATTTGTGACTTGTATCCATACCATGGACGCGTATGGCAGATGCAGTGTTTGATACGCTGCACTGATGTACAAGGGGGAGGTTTAACTCCCCTTGTTATTTTTTTTCTTCATTATTTAGTAATGGAAATAAAAACTGTTTGCCTTGAAAAAGAACAACCCTTAAATTACTTTTTTATAGCATCCTGCAGTATCTGCTTTCAATGTAGTTTGTGTCAAATAAATAACCTATAAGGTAATACTCATCTCCTACTATAGAAATCTTGCCAGGTGAATAACTTTAAGCTTAAAGTCCATTGAATGTCTTTAGGTAGAGATTCCTGGTGGCTTTTGGTGTAGCAGTGGCTTCTCTAACTGATCAGCGCCAAACTAGGTATCCCGTGGGTACGTAAGTTAGAGTACATATATCTAGGCATGTAAATACAGAGTTCCTTTTGAAAAACACACACTTTAAACAGTGGTCTAAGAATCTCCAAGTCATCAGTCTTTCATTTTATTTCTGTTACTCTACTTTGACAGGTAAAAATCAGATCTGGTGTTGGTCATAGACCAGTTCAATTGGTTTTTCCAAGCCTCTTCATTTTTGTTGTTTTAAGGTGTAAGCAAAGACATTGACCATCTTGATACCCAGTGCATTTTTCAATAATGTAATAGAAGATTCTGTTTTCTAAAGTATCAACTGAACTGAGATTTAGCCAAATCATTTTATGTTTTCATTGAGAATAATTTTGTTCTCGTTGTTATGGCCAGTAAAAGACACTGAATTTTAAAAGCCAAAAATCCATGGAAACACATTCACAACAATGTATTTCAAATAGCCTTGTGGCTGCCAAACCAGTTATTGTACAGGTTAAAATAGAAAAGGGGCCTCTCAAAGTGCATTAGTGCTGGATTAGAGAACCCTTAGGACAGTTACGTTTTACATCTCTACTGGCTGTTTGGCCAGAGCCACCTGTGTAAGCCAAGTATTCAGGAATGATGGTGTGTCTCCTTCTCCCTACCACAGGGTCCCCTCCTCATGCTGCAGGTATGGAGTGATTAGGAAGACCTTGTGCCACCTCCCTTAGGCACGTTCTATAGATTGTATGGCACAAAAGTTACTGTGCTGTGTTAAAATAATCCCAAGTTATAATAAATCAATCTATATTGCGGAATAGCTCAGACCTTTTTAAAAGGTTCATAAAAACACTTTGGTAACTTTTGGTGGTTATTTTTTATTGAAAATTAATGTTAATCTTGGAAGTAATGCCATGTAGTTCTCTCTTTAAAATATATTTTACTTAGTAAATATTACAGAATTCTAAAATACCTTAATTAAAAAAAAACTTGAACAAAGAAAAGTCCTACATGGAAATGAGATCTCAAAACACAGTGTTTTTTGGTTTGTTTTTTTTATTAAAGATATATAGAACAAAGAATAAATGCAACTAACCTGCTTAAAGCAAACAGTATAAAGAGTTCTTTTTTGTTTAGGGAATTTCTGCAGAGTAGATCTTCTTTTTAAAAAGAATTTCAGATATGCCAACAGGACTGACTAGATGCTAATTTGAACTGGTTTGTGTGTGTGCTTAAGCGTAACAGTCAGCATTTTAATCTTTGCAACTTCATATTTCCAGTATTCCCTAAAAAGATATTCTGAAGTATAGGAAATGACTTAAAACCCAGCATTACTGGGACAAAACTTTATCAGTAAGCATTTTTCTCTGAGCACAGCAAATGACTGAAAATCTCTGCCAGCCTTTTCAGCGAGGATGTGAGTGTTCACGAGGGTTTGCAGTGCAATGTAACAACCAAGGGATTAAAGTCTGCCAACAGTATTTCTTCTTGAAGCAGACTGGGATGTGTTGGGTTTTATAAAAATAAAAGCCTTTTAAATCTGAGCACGAAATGGGTAGAAGCAGTGGGTGCTGATGATTCCAATGTTACGTTTTCTAGGTGTGCAGGCTGGGAGGAATCAAACACCTCGTTGATCTTTTGGATCACAGAGTCCTGGAAGTTCAGAAGAATGCTTGCGGTGCACTGAGAAACCTTGTTTACGGGAAGTCTACTGATGAAAACAAAATAGCAATGAAGAATGTTGGTGGGATACCTGCCCTTCTGCGGTTGTTGAGAAAATCTGTTGATGCTGAAGTAAAAGAGCTCGTAACAGGTAAGTTTTGAGAAGAAAAAGCAGAGACCTTAAACACAGATTATTTTTCTGAAGTCTCGAATAACTGGTAAGAGACGGGAATTGAGTGTACCGACTGCTTTTCTGTTTGTGCACTGGTATTTTTCGTGAATACAAAGTCACTGATAGTTAAAGTATTAACATGGATGTACAGATTCACTGAGAGAAGTGAATCTTGAGGTAGCTGCACTAAAGCTCTGCTCAGGGTAGGTTTTCTGGTGGTGTGACTCTCCTACATACACAGCTGGGCCTTAGATAGGCATTTCTTTATTGACTACTAACACCTGATTTATTACAGGCTGCTGACAAAAGTTTTCAGTAAGATCTTGCAGAATTTCTAAGATGGACCCAAACTATGTAAATGTGTGTTACAATACAGGCAGAAAATAGCAAGTATGCAAATTACAGAAGCTTACCAGTGCACAGCCTGCTTGTAGAACCCTGAAAAGTGACTGTGTAGACACTCCCAGTCTCTTGAGTACAAGGTAACAGATTAAGTTTATAAGCCATGAACCTACTTGGCACTTGCTGTGGACTTAAAGTGCAGAAATAATAAAATATTTACAGTTCTAACACATGAAGGAATTCCATTTCCATCAAAACAAGGTGGATTTGCGGGGTACTGCATACATCTGCTATCTCTTTTTCTCTCTGTGGGAGTGATTTGTCTAGGTAGGTTGTAGGGGATTTAAAATGAGAGGATAGAAAAAAACGAGTATTTTTTACTTTCTTTAAACAGTTCCTCTTTCAAGTTTTAGTAGCTCCCTCATTTGATTTTGTTAAGCTGTGAAGCTCAACTGCTTACCTACGAAGCAAAGCTGCACAACGGTGCTCAATTTAGAAGTAGCGCTGGGAGCCTTTCCAAGTCATTTCCTTGTTTAGTATAGCTATTAAGTAGAGAAAGAACTCTGTGCAGAAGGTAGCCAAAGCATTTAAGTTCAAGTTCATGTGCAGGCTATTTTCCTGAAGTATTTTCCACATAAGCCAGCATTAAGATAATGGCAGTGCTGGACTAGCAGTTGGACTTGATGATCTTAAAGGTCATTTCTAACCGAAATGATTCTACTTGTAAGTAAAAAGATTTTTCAAATAAGCACAGTCTTTATTTTTAATTCAAGATGACTACTTCAGAAGTGTCGTTCACTTTGGAACTCTCACTCGCATTTTTAATTTATTTAACCGGCTACAAAAGAGAAAATAAAAGTTTTGACCTAATTGTCTTCTGGTTAAGTCAGTGGTGTTGACTTCTGTCATACTGGACTTTTGAGAAGAATCCACAGCAGGCTTTTGGAACTTAGGGATTTTTAAATGCTTTCTGTAAATAGCAATATAAAGAAAAGAAGCGGAAAAGATCCACTGATTACTTCTTTAATGATTAGAAAACTCCACCTATGTCAGGACTAATACTAGCAAATCACACTCAGTTCACTCTATTCCCAGATTAAGGTAATGTAAATACAGGGAAATTAGTGTCACTCTACATGACGAGAAACACCATATGTCTGATAGTTTAAAGTTGGCACTATTTGTTACTGCTGTAGTTTGTTTGTATTTTTTCATGTAAAATGGATTTTCCAGTGTAACATTTTGGAATGAAGTACAGTACTTTTCTTTTTCCTGAGGATGGTCTTTCTTCCATACTAAATGAATTATGTTTGTTATTAGCAGTATCAGTTGCCTTTGAATAATAACAGGTATCTCTGATGGCATTGCCAGGGAAATTCACCCAGTTTACTTTAGTATGCAGTTGGACAGATGAAAACTTCATTATCCCAGATGAGTGAAATTAGAATAACAAGCTTCTTGCAGTCTGTGTAGATAGTTTCAACATGAACTCATTTATATAAAATTTTTAGGAACATGCCCTGAAGATGAACTGTGAGTCTGAAAAGCTACAATACTGGGGGAGAGTTTAATTGTTCAAGTATATTTTAGAGGAGGTAGAAAACAGGAGGCATACTGGGGTCTCAGTTTAATTATGAGTGATTGAAATGAAGGGAGATAATGAAGTGGAAACTGAATAGAAAGTTACATTAAAAAATGCAGGAAACATAATTGCAAAACCACAAGAACATTTTATGAGGGAAGCAAGTAATCTTGATGGCTACGGATTAGTCAGAAAATAAAATGTGCTAAATCACTTTTCATAATCGTATAAAAATGAAGTAATCTTAAAAAAAGAAAAAGAAGTAACCAAAAAAAAAAGTCTTTAGAAGTTGGACTGAGGATAACCCTTCATTGAGCTGCCCTGGCAGGCTGTGG